GAAGTCAGAGAATTCGCTACTCTTGCTGCCGAATCAAAAGACAGTCTCGAAGAGCTCGAACGATCATGGATGCAGCCGCCTGTCGTGGCTACAACATGTCTCACCATCAATCATCCTCTCTTCAACCGCCGCGTCTTCGACTACTGTATTGTCGATGAAGCATCTCAAATTACCCTCCCTGTTTGTTTGGGGCCTATCCGCATGGCTCAGAAGTTCATCTTAGTAGGCGACCACTACCAGCTACCTCCGCTGGTGCAGAACAAAGAAGCTATGGAAGGCGGACTGGATGTTTCACTGTTTAAGCTCCTTTGTGAAGCTCATCCACAGGCCGTCGTCAGTTTGGAGCATCAATACCGGATGTGTGCCGACGTCATGTTGTTGTCAAACACATTCATCTATTCAGGACGGCTGAAATGTGGCACGACCACTGTCGCTTCACGTAAACTGGCACTTCCCAAATCCGAAGGTCTCAATGTCTACCACCACAAGCCATATCAATCGCGATACAATGCGGCACAGGCATGCACTGGTCCTGATGCTGCTGACTGTTGGCTTTCTCGTTCCTTGTCACCAGATCGCCCAGTCATCTTTATCAACACTGATCTCATTTCTTCGACCCTCGAAACGCAATCTGGATCCCGCATCACTAACACTCTTGAAGCGCGGCTAGTTACACAACTTACAGTGTCTCTTCTCAGCCTTGGTGTCCCTGCTGGGGAGATTGGCATAATTGCTTTCTATCGTTCACAGCTCGCCTTGCTTCGACAAAGCCTGTCATCCGCATACACCCAAACGCAGTCATCTGAACTTGCTGCTCCCGCCATAAACGGACAAGGGTGCTCAGGAGTCGAGCTACATACTGCAGACAAGTTTCAGGGCCGCGATAAGGAAGTCGTCATCGTATCTAGCGTACGAAGCAACGAGAACGGCACAGTTGGTGATCTCTTGAAGGACCGCAGACGTGTCAACGTCGCTCTGACCCGCGCGCGATCGAAACTTATCATTCTCGGCAGCGAAAAAACGCTATCGAGCAATGAACTGTTGCGCGATATGGTTGCCTTCTGTCGCGAGAAAGACTGGGTAGTCGATCTCCAGCCCAGCATGGTGGAGTCGCATGCCTTTGAAGAAAGTGCTACACAAACGGGCAAAACACCAGTGAAGCAGCCACGCTCTTCTTCACGTTCTAACAACGTCACGAAGAGTCCTAGTCTGACACCTAGTCCGTCGAAGAAACGCAAGGCACTGGGCGATCTTACAGCAAAGCCTGAAAAAGTCAACGCTAGAAGTCCTAAGAGAAGAAACGATAACAAGAGTGCAAGTGGTAGTCCCGAGGTAAAGAGAGTGCCTGGGAAGGTTTTCACAGCAGGCAAACGGGGCATATTGGATGGCAGACCAATTCTGAGGGACATTTACAACGGCGCTATTTGAGAGCTAGGCATCTATGGGTCTCTTACTAGGAGTTTTACTAGAGGGTACTCCGACCCCATTGACTCACGAAGGGTTGGAATGACGAGGGTTTTATTTGGGATACCAGTGCTATTGGATATCAATGTAGTATGACAGCAAATGGAACAACGGAAGCGTATCCTATCAATCAGCAATAATTTCACGTAACCTGATTCCTCACCCCCTGTTCCACAGCAGAAGCGTGACCAATGTGCATGTGATTTGTTAGTAACCACGCTCTGCTCGGTGCAATTACGCGACGTTCACGGCCTCAATGTGCCGTTCCAGCTGGTGCATCACACAACTGCGTCTTCCCGCCACCACAAAAAACGAGTACCCCAGAATCAGAACCAAGCTTTTCCGCTAATATCCATCAATCAGATGTATTGCACGAACATTGCTCGATCAGGTCACAGATTGTCGCTACGCACTCAAAGATTACCTATGTTACGAGAAGAAGCAATCTTCTATCGCAAACTCTCCTCCGCATTCCATAGCGTCACCTTTGCTTGCGCGGCGTAGATAACCATCTAGGCGATGCATAAACCTCCATTCTTCTGATATACTTTGTCAAGGCCTGGAGGGACCACAGGCTGGATCAGGAGTCTGCTATGCTTCTCAATCTGTGTTCCCATCAGGGTTTTACCTTTTATTTTCTTATCATCAGGCACATCTTCAAGGACTTGGGGAACGAGCAATTCGCCGAGCCATGATTGCAACAAATGACCTTGAACAAGGCAGCTCTAGGATGGGGAGATTTCGTTCGATCTACGTCAGGTTTATCTCATGAAGCTATGCTTATATGCCCAGCTAGTCGCTCTTTGTTCCCCTTGTCATTATTGTTGCACATGAGCTCAGAGTATATGAGAAGAATCCTAGTGCAACAGATCCGAGCGCTACCTTTCAATTTGCCCCTTCCTTATGTTTGGAGTCAAAGTGAACATGACTAGTATAGTTTTTTACATGGTGAGAGAAAGTAAACCGCATGGCTGTGGTTCGTAGAGGCCACAATGGCATCGAAAGTGTTCTGTATAGATCCATACTATGACAGACTTATACCAGCATGATGTGCTGGCCATTCGATCAACTTACGGTGCTCTGATCCCAACGCTACCGCGATAGCCCTTACAAAGTTTGTACCTAGGCCCTCAAGCCACCATACCGTATTTGTCCGGATAAGCAATACGGCGAAGTGCGCTAGAATTACCAGCGCATCGCGGTCTTGGGCTTCGACGAGCTGAATGTATTCACGAGCAACACGCGTGACCCATGAGAACATCGCACCGCGATCGAGCAGAACACTAGTTCCATGACAATCTTTGGAAGCTCCCAGCTGAAGGAGTTGTGAGTTGAGAGCGTATGTTTCGCGAAGTTGATCCAAGGCTTGGCTAAGGTACTGCGAATGGGGACCATACTGCCGGTCTGTTTGGAGCCACAAGTCCTTGATACGCCGTAATCTTTCATCTTCATCGCGAGCAAGAGGTGATGCTGGCTTGCGCATCTTTGGCCATCCTTTCCTTGATGCCACGGGTTGTATACTGCTGTCAGCTATCCAGGTCCAACCTTTCATAAGAACCTCTAGTGGTCCCCTAAGTCCCCACATTGTTCTAACGATACAAGATATCATTTTGCCAGCCATCTCAGATGTATGAGCAGCACTCAGAGGGAAGGCGGCTTCTAAGTCTCCGAAATCCAGGACCGAGGTTCGGACAAAGTAAACGGCAGTCAACGCTGAGCTTGCAAACACAGCAGCGACATTATTTCGAGTGACCTTCTCAATCGCGTGACGATAACCCGCAAGCGCTTGGTTCATCTGAAAAGCGGCTACAGCGTTCCAGTGATTGAACTGCTTGGGCTGTTCTTCCGGTCTGGAAAGATATGCAATGTGTAGCGACGTGACTGAGAGGACGCAATGCGTGAGGAACTTATAGCCCGCAGCAATTTGAGGGATGCCAAGCTGCCAGACAGCTGTCTCTCGGTCGCCGTTTTCGATTGTAAGACTGGTGGTGTGTGTGTAATGGGAAAGTACGTTTTGTAGCGAGAAAGGGGATGCTCCTTGGCTGAATTTCCATGGGTCTTGAAGTCGGGCGTGTAGTGGGAGGAGATCTCGCTCATCTGGAGAGCTGGTGTCATGTCGCCGAGGTACTGTAACGGTGCAATGCTCACTATCTGCGGAACAACAATCCTCAATTGATGATGCAGATGGCGTGTCTGGTGAGCTGGAACATGGACCTGCGAATGTAATTTTGAGATGTTTAGGAGGCGCAGTTTGGAGGAAACTACACGTCTCCCCTTTCTTCACACATGTTCCGCAAGAAGGATGCTTGAAGTCGCACTGTGTTCTGTGTCAGTTGCAATCGTATGCGTAAAGTGCAGGTGCCCATTTAGACAGGCTACATCAGAAAATGCCGAAGGCGCGACTTGGTACGCATGTCGCGACCAGAATCTGGTATAGGCCCTGGGACATCGTACAAGACCCAAGGTATGTCTTGAAGGGATGGCTACCTTTATTCGCCTCTTCTTACATTGCTGACATCCGAATCTGGACTTTGTATGCGCTCGTCGTATGCGGTTTGGCATGAGGCCCTCAAGTTACACTGCTGGGGCAAGATCGAGCGGGTGAGATGATCGGATGCATCCAGCAACGACCGGATAAGACGCGAGATAAGATCGACGGCGGCACTACGGTGTCGACGGGCTAGGAAGAACGTATGAAGGGTTCACGCAAGCAGATAATGGAGGTGTCGGTTCATGAGACTTGTGTGGTAGTGGGTTCGTATGTACATCGAGCACATCCGCGTCGCCATGAGGAAGATAACATTAAACGTCAAGTCTCAAGATGTTTCCAGCATCATCGCAGCGGGTCGCCTCGAAAATTCGTGTCAGCAGAGGCTGAGCCCGCGAGATCGGACGAAATCGTGCTGTTCATCGCAGAGATCTTGTCAGGGGGGTAGTCTGTGCGCGACTGGGATGGGCAGTAATCATCGACCAATGAGCAGATGGCAAATACGCAACATTTTGACCTATGCCGGATCTTCCGGCGGCGTATATTGTGATGTTGTTCGCGTACTTCACAGACTGCCAATGGTTCTTTTCGCTTTTCAGTCTGCGTTCAATGTGGGATCAAGATGGTTCAACGAATCAAGGACCCCGATGCGGTATATTCTTATCTCTTTGTACGAGCGCAAGGTCGCTGTCCAATACGGCAACACAGTAAACGAGAGCAGTCCTTATATATGATGAGTACTCGCACAGGACTGCCATTCTCGATATCTCGCATTCCAAGAATCTGTCTCTGTTGCAATACTCTCTAATTTCAACAATTGTCTGCCAACACATTCTGTCTCGTTACAATACAGCTCTAGGGGCGTTCACTACACCATCTATTCGGACTCGCTTCAAATCCTTCCAGTATGAGCGAAGGAGAAGGGTACGAGGAATACGTCTTTTATCGTTACACGCCAACACTCGCGGGTGCAGTGATCTTCGTACTCTTATTCGGGTGCACGACTATCTATCATGTGTGGCAAACCTGTCGCAGGCGATCGTGGTTCATGGTCCCAATCATCATCGGCGGAATCTTTGAAACCATTGGGTATATTGGACGCGCGCTGTCGCATAACGATCGGGAAGCTCTTGGTCCCTACGTCATACAAACTCTACTCCTCCTTCTCGGACCCGCCCTTTTCGCCGCAAGCATCTACATGATCTTAGGTCGCATTATCTTGCTAACGGATGGAGAGCGATACTCGTTAATACGACGTACATGGCTCACGAAGATCTTCGTCGGTGGCGATGTCCTCTCATTCCTCACCCAATCTGGGGGTGGCGGTATCATGAGTGGTGCAGACGAGGATAACCCTGACAATATGAAGATCGGGGAGAAGGTGATCATCGTGGGTCTCTGTATCCAGGTTATCTTCTTCGGATTCTTTGTCCTCACGGCTTTTGTCTTCCAAAAGCGCGGACGCGGACATCTCCTGGCATTGGAGGGATGGGTGCCATGGAGAAAGCACTTATACGTGCTTTACGGCACATCGGTCTTGATCTTAGTCAGATCTGTCTTCCGAGTGGCCGAATATGCACAGGGTAATGACGGGTACTTACTACGACATGAGGCGTTTCTCTACGTATTCGATGCAGTGCTAATGCTCATTGTCATGGCCTGGCTAAATATTGTTCATCCTGGAGAGATCGCCGAGGTTTTGAAGGAGAAGAAGAAGGCTGAGGGAATAGGGAGGCAGCATGATATGGATCTTCTTGGTTACCATGACAGTTCAAACATCTAGAATTGGGGATACCGAGCTGGTTTCATATCATCAGGATAGCGGACTTTGGTAATGGAGAGTGAAAACTGTAATTCGTAGTCGCTAGTTGAGGGAGGACATTGCTATAGCGGCAACAATTGGCGCTACTATATAGAGCTCCTCGAAAATGCCGAGATATGATATCTCGCCCATGAATTTGGCGTGGCTAAGCTGAGAACAATACGATACAGTGTCCTACGCAAATTTACAGTTGTTATACCAAAGCTGAATATCGATGTAAGTAGTGTTTCTCCAATTGTAGAAGAGTTGTGGTAACTAGCGAGTATCTAGTGCTAAGAGATATTTCTTGAGGGTCTTCGAGCAGTATGCCCTATTTCCAGGACTGGGAGATGGATTGCGCCGAAGGAGCATGAACCTCTGCGGATTCACTCCTACGCCATGCTTGTACGACGAAATTTGTCAGACGGACCGAACGCTCGGAGCACAACGCCGTATGGGTGGCAAACTGGCTACTGACCAATGGGGCCCTCCCGTAAACGGGTCATCCGTGTGTAGACAACCGTACCATGGTCAACACATTACAAGCAAGGCGTACATCGTATACACCGTACTCAAGACACTCCGGCTCGAGCCGTGAAACGCAACGTCTTGAAGAAGACCGCTTTGACATACTCAATGAGAAAGTCTATATAAGTACGCAGGTAGCCTTTACTTTTACAGTATGTCGACTGTACCACTTCATCATCAACAAGATCGGTACATTCATATCATCTTCCTTCTTATTGACTACCACTTCACTTCGCCGAATCAGAATTTCATCAGGCGAGATGGCACTTCAAGGACAATTTTTCTTCTCATACAAACCCTCAGTTGCAGCAGTCGTGATAGCAGCCCTCGTCTTCAGTGCGATAACAGCAATACACGTATATCGGTTCGTGGAGAATTATAAGACAAAGCGCATCAGGATACTACTTGTGCTCTCCATGGCGTCATTTAGTAAGCATTGAGGATGCTCACGTCATACTTAGACTCAGACTGATCAAATCACTCATCAGATGAAGTGTTGGGCTACGTGCTACGCATCCCAGGAAGCAGGAGTAGTCGTACCGGTGCCATTCATGCATTGAGTCCACTTCTCTTACTTCTTACACCCCTGATGGTGACCTCAGTCATATACTACATTTTCTCCAAGATCTCCACAGCTGTCGCACCACATTGCGTTCCGCTTAAGTCTTCTTTGATGCTCAAGATCTTGAGCGGAGTAGATCTCGTATGCCAGCTTGCAATTTCAGCAGGTGTTATGGTAGCGGCTCGAGCGAACTCCAGCGCTGGTAAAGGTGTCTTGTTGGCTGCGATTGCTATACATGTCAGCAATACTATGGGCTTTATGATTGCTGTTGTTATCTGGCAGCGCCGAGTCGGTGGGAAATGGACTGAAGGTCTAGATCACCTGTCTATCTCCACGCAACGAGATGTCCTGGCAATTTACATTGCAACGGGTCTTATTATGTTACGCAGCTTATTACGCTTCATCGAGTTCGCATGCGGTCCTGTAAGCTCTAATATCATGCGATATTACTGGTCTGTCAGCTCACGCTCATAGAACGGACCTTTTCAGGACCACGAGGCTCCATTCTGTATCTACGACTTTCTTCCTATGGTGGTCGTATTGATCACATGCATCCAATGGTATGACAGCGACAACATTCCAACTTCATATCGCTCAAGGGATAGGGAGTTAGAAGAAGTAGTTGTGCAAAATGCGTAACTTTCGTTGTTAGAAAAGAGATGGCAAGAGACTCTCAAAGGGTGCTAGCTTAGGCGTCCGGACTCTGAGTGACTAGTCCCGGAATTGTTTTTCTGCGCAGTCCATGCCCTTGTGGTTTTGTCTCTTATATAAAACAAGTGCTTTTGTCAGTCTTTGTAGCAGCGAATGAGTTCTCCACTTGCGCGAAGCTTGCACGAACTCTCCGTAGGCTATGATACTTTCCAACACGCTACAGTAATCCACAACAGTGTATGCGACGCCCACCTTCATCTCTTGCCAACGTCGTCACTCGGAGTTTGCCAAGTACCAGAACACCCGAGGGTGCGGTGTGACTCGTATGTCTATCACGCCATACAACCATTATGGTGTGTACGACCAGAATCGTTTACATTCCAACAGGAAGGCGCATGGTGGATGCCCATCGAGCGTCGCCTCGCTTCCTTCTCCATGCAAACCCTGACTTCGCATAGCAGACACAGAGCATCCAGAAAGCGACAGACGATATTTGTCATGATTATAAAAAGAATGACTTTGGTTACTCGAAGCTCAGGCGCAAGTACGTTTGCTCACTTGGTGGTCAAAACATGTGGCACTCATATCAATAGCCCTAGCTGAGACATGCTGGTGTCCATGCACCACTTCCAAGAAGCAGACAAACAACCCTACACAATCTTGTTCAAATTGCACCATGCGGACAGACTCCGTGAGCAGGTTCGGCGTCGCCAATGATTGCGAAAGCCTCGATGGTCCCCAGAAACCTACGACCAAAGATCGCGGAGGTGCCTGTTCAGGAAGACTCTGCCAACACGTCCGCTCTAATGATTGCAGTATCATACAGTGATTCCTCCATCGGTGAACAATCTAACCAGGTGACGCCATGCGTGGCTGGTATGCGTAGTGCATCGCGCACCATCACATGAAGCGCCGCTCAATGTCGCACCAAAAGATAGGCTGGAGGCACAAGACTGGTTGCATGACTGGAGCCAAGATCCCTATGCATGTTCAGTCCAGATTCGGGCCCCTTGTTACGGCTCGTAATGTTCCGTGCTAACGCGCTGCATGCAGGGGCCTCGCGTTGCCTATTATATTGGTGCGGACATGTTGAGCTCCGGTAAGAGTACTGTTCCAATGGCCGTCACTGTCACTTTCTTACTCCCCATGTCTTCTCTATGAATCTATGCAGTTAAAAGAGCGATCTCTAAAGCAACAGCTTGTATAGGCTATGTATGACAGATATTCTATGTGTACTCCAGTCACATGATGATTCGCTTAGATCTTCTACTTCCGGCGATGCATTTGCACCTGATGTCAGCACTAATGTCCTAGTAGCTGTCACGTATGCGCCTCCCTCAGAGGTTGGCGTAAAGTTGTTTCGTCGCCGTGAATCTTGGACTGGCGCTCATATAGTAGGGAGGGGCACCCAATTATATGATGCCACATGATCATCGGGCGACCTTGGACGAGATAAGATCGCGGAGTTCTTCAGCTCGCTGGATAGATTGTGTTTTCTCAGATCTCATAATTCGCACTTAGCTTCTTTGATCACAAAGTCATAGCGTTCTGAGAGGCCTGCAAACCGGCAAACGAAGTCTTCCTTGGTGGCAAAATGCCTTCATATAGGGTGTACGACAACGGACAGCTCACTGCTGAATACACAACACACGTCGGCGGGAGAATTACGGCCACATACTACATCAAAATCACATCTCACGACGAGATTGCCAGAGCGAGGGGCGATATACAAGACAATCCGAATACGACGGTGTACTTATGGCGCATGGATTCTACTACAAACGAAAATGTCATTTGGAGGCAGGTCCCGAAGACTGAGGGCGCGCTCACACAGGATGAGTACGATATAGCCATGGACGAAATCGATAGACAAACGCGAGAACAAAAAGCCTCGACCCCTGAATCCTATACGCCTCCAACTACTCAATATAACACATTTCAGGAGATGGGCATTCCAACTTACGACACGCAAGGCGTGCTCATTGCTCAACCGGCTGAGGTTAGCAATGCTCAGCTCATAGGGGAAGACAACATGCACGAAACTCAGCGCTGGAGACCTGATCAGACATTCGATAAGAGGCGAGGATACTCATACAAATAACACTGTAGTAGAAATACACAGAAGTAGCATGTGTGTAATTTAGAGATTTTAGAGATAAGAACATAACAAGGCAGCGTAGCTACAGTACACAAATAAGCAATAATAAAAAGCAAAGCCTTACTACCCTACAACTATAAATAGCTTAATATAATAATTAGCTAGAAGCTAAAGTAAGCTATCAATAAAAATTTTAATAAATTGCTAGAGGTACTACTCTAACGCGATCTATAATATCTCTAATAGGCAGGTAGTGCTTATTAGGAAGTTAAAATATAACTATAGTTATAATTTAGTATTTCTAGCTTAAGTAGTAAATAGTATTAGAGCACTATAAGCACTTAAGAATATAATACTAAACTAAAGAGTATAAATTCTTTCATTAATACTAAACTACAACGTTGAAACTAAAGTAAGTTGTTACACGGGGTCAGGCTATACTTCTCTGTTACAAGCAACAAAAGGAACTCCACCCTTGATGAAGGAGTTGGCGCGGAACGCCAACCGACGACCACGTCAGAAGGTAACGATCAACGCGGGGCGCTGATCACGTGACTGACATCCCGCCAAGGC